TTCAATATGAAGAACTTAGCTCAGTTCCTTTATTAGCTTCTCTTTTCCCTAGAGTCTATTGCCATGTTCTTGCAAAACTCTCCAGCAAGCCAGCTAGGATAGTTTAACTTTCTAACCAGCCCATATACAAATTACTTTGGTTGCATTATTTATATTCCATTATAGGCCACGTGGTTGCTTTTTCAAAAGATCTCATAAAGTAGGAGTCTTCTAATTTCCTTTTATTAACTGCACTTTGTCGAGTCTCTTCTAACCCTCTTTCCTTCATTTTATTGCATCTTCTCTCTTGATTCTATTTCTCCCATCCTTGCTATTAGATTCATTTCTTTTTTTATTTCAAAATATTAAGAGTGTTTTTGTTACATGGATGAATTGTATAATGCTTTTAGTGTGTCCTTTATTTCTGATAGTCAAAATATCCAGGAAAAGGACTTAGACTCATTTATAAACATAATATCAAACTTTCCAAAGGACTGATTCTATATAATCCTTAAAATTCAGAAATGTTTATATAAACAAACATGCTTAAACTTATGTCTCAGTCTAAGAGGCACCAAGCTGCCATGCTTTTAATCCCTATCAACCTCAAAGGGATCTGTCAAACCACAGTGCATTAAGGAGGTTCAGATAAAACAAGAGGGAAGATGTGTGGCTTCTGTAGGCTGTTATTTGCTAATGAGTCACAATTAATACCCAGATCCTACTGCTGTAGCTTTTTAGCTAGTCTGTGTTATGTTTGTAGGCACTATCAAAGCTTGGATTTTCCAATAAGAAAAGGTTCTTTGCTCTCAACTCTGTGACTTTTTGTCCTGTGGTGCTGGTTGCTAAAGCCACCAAACCTTCTCACAAGTGTGTGCTGGGGTAGGTCCTAGCAGGCAGGGGACTCCACATGCAGCAAGGGTAAATCTGTCTAGTGCATTGGGGAAATGACTCAGATAATAGCACACCTGAGTCATCTTCCCATTTGCTTGTGAGCTTCATTAATATTCTTCACTTCAAAGATTAACACAGCAAAACAAATATATAGAAATTTCCAATTCAGAATGGCTCAAACTCTTATCAGCCCTTTGCCTCAGGTCTTCTTCCTCTGCCTGTCCCAACTTTCCAAGAGCTGGGCCAGCTATGCACCCCACCCTTACGTTTGGCCTCTCTCCTATGCCTGAACCGATATAGGTTTGAAGCAGGAAGAACTTAGATGATCCCCCACCCTAAGCCACCTAAAGTAACAAACTAGAGTCCCCCAGTGTGCCTTGGTTCATAGGCCTGGACTTCTGCTTTGGCCCTCATTCCAAGTTCTAGCCTGGCAACTGCTACCCCTTTCCCCATTCCTCTGCCCTGTATACTCACACATCCTGTATTTATACAGAAAGAGAGCATGGTAAAACTGTGAAAGTAAACATCCCAGTCCAACTAATTTCAATAATGTTGAACTAAATATCAGTTAAATGCAATTCTTAGAGGAAAACACAATCTTGGCAAAATCCCTCAGAACATTCTGGCTGAACCCTCCTCTCATGCCCATCCTAGCTGTAACAAATCCTGAAATACAATACTTCTGCTACAGCTTAGGCCATGAAACCAGAAGAGTACAGGATATATATTTAGCTCCCAGAAATCCAAAATGGAGGTCCATAATCCATAATGGAAAAGAGCGAGGATAAGTGAAATCTGTAACCAGAGACAATTCCCAAACTTCAATATGGCCTTTGCATTTCAAAGTATTTCCCATTAATTTTTTTTAAAGCTGTGTAGCTTCATATCACCATTTTGGTTTAGTCTCCCTTTTCTTCCCTTATCTACTGTTTGGTAGAGGTTTTAAAAAGAAAGAAATGTTTTTATGATATGTGAATTATATCTCACACACAAAATAAATAAATGGCCAAAATATAAATAGCTGGGAATAAAATGAGGCAAAGCAACAATTAGCTGGAGACAAATGGCAGCTGTTCCCCTTCAGCTAGGCCATGCGGTCACCAGGTTGCTTCAGAGCCGCCACCCACTCCATGAATTTATGGCTCCTGCCTGGCCCCAGCAAGTGCTGGGGTTTTCAACCTTAGGGATAGAAAATAAACAAGCTGAACAATCAATCTTTGACTACCTGATTGTATTAGTTTTCTATTGTCACTGTAACAAATTTCCACAAATGTAGTGGCTTAAAACACAAATTCATTAGCTTCTAATTCTGTAGGTTAGAAGTCTCACATGGGTCTTCATGAGCAAGCTAAAATGAAGGTTTCTGCACAGTCGTGCTTCCTTCTGGATGCTCTAGGGGAGAATCCATTTCCTTGCCTTTTCTGGCTTCTAGAAGCTGCCTGTATTTATTGGGCTATGAATCCTTTCTCCATCTTCGAACCCAGCAACATAGCATCTCTGTTTGAACCTGCTGCTGTTCTCACATCTCTTTCCCTGTCTCTCCTTTTCTGCCTTCCTCTTCAACTTATGGGGTCCTTGTAATTACACAGAGGCCACCTGCATACTTTAGGATAACCTCCCTACTGGCTGATAGCAATTTTTTTTTTTTTTGAGACAGAGTCTCACTTTGTTGCCCAGGCTAGAGTGAGTGCCGTGGTGTCAGCCTAGCTCACAGCAACCTCAAACTCCTGGGCTCAAGCGATCCTTCTGCCTCAGCCTCCTGAGTAGCTGGGACTACAGGCATGCACCACCACGCCCGGCTAATTTTTTTGTATATATATTAGTTGGCCAATTAATTTGTTTCTATTTATAGTAGAGATGGGGTCTCGCTCTTGCTCAGGTTGGTTTCGAACTCCTGAACTCAAAGGATCCGCCCGCCTCGGCCTCCCAGAGAGCTAGGATTACAGGCGTGAGCCACTGCGCCCGGCCATGGCTGATAGCAATTTTAATTCCCCTTTGCATTGTAAGGGAACATTTATAGATTCCAGGGATTAGGATATGGGCATATTTGAGGGGGCATTCTTCTTCCTACAACATCAATCTGTATTTCACAAATTATGAAAGAAATATAAAGCATGAACTTTTTAATAGGCAACTGTATTTTAATATACAATATATGGGCTCCTAAAAAATTGAAAAGTTGTATGTAAAGTAAATTATAATTAAAAGCCATTAAAGAAGCCATTTAAAAGAATCTGTGATGGGCCGGGCGCGGTGGCTCATGCCTGTAATCCTAGCACTCTGGGAGGCTGAGGCGGGAGGATTGCTCAAGGTCAGGAGTTCGAAACCAGCCTGAGCAAGAGTGAGACCCCGTCTCTACTATAAATAGAAAGAAATTAATTGGGCAACTAATATATATAGAAAAAATTAGCCGGGCATGGTGGCGCATGCCTGTAGTCCCAGATACTCGGGAGGCTGAGGCAGCAGGATTGCTTGAGCCCAGGAGGTTGAGGTTGCTGTGAGCTAGGCTGATGCCATGGCACTCACTCTAGCCTGGGAAACAAAGCCAGACTCTGTCTCAAAAAAAAAAAAAAAATAAAAGAATCTGTGATGAATTGTTTTGTAAAGATATTAACTTCCTAGCATCTTCTTTTATCAATCCAAATTTTCATATATTTACTTTATGTTGGGATAAAGCTTAAGTATGGGTTAAATATTTTAATATTTTGAGAATGTTAGGGGGGAGTGGAATAAAAATCTGTAGAACATTTTCTGATAATCCACAAAACACTGACATATGCATTTCTGAAATTGATACCTCTGACAGGAGATAATAAAGACTTGAGTCTCGCTCAGCTAGTAAGCATTGATGGCATACCAGTTAAGAGCACAGTCTCTGACATCAGCCTGCTTAGTGGGTTCAAATCCCACCTCTGAAATCTTAGAGCTGTGTAACCTTGGGTTAATTATTGAATTTCTCTGAACCTCACTTTCCACATCTGTAAACCAAGAATAATGATGGTAGTTATCTCATAGAGTTGCCACGAGGACTAATGATACAGACCATAAAACACTCAGTATGGTGCCTGGTACATATTAAGTCCTCAATATGTGGGTTCTCTTATTATCACCTCATGCGGAGGCCCATGCTTAAGTGCAGGAGATATATAGGAAGCATCCTACAACTTGCATTCATTATTTTCAGGGCTTAAAAATGAAACTGAGAACAGGACATGACCACTAAAGGGAAAGCAGCAGGCAAAATATTAAATTAAGATAAAATTTGAGTCTTCCCTTGGTAGACACCCATGGTTTCCACTTGCAGGCTATGTGAAAGATAGAATGACCTTCAATACTTAATGGAAGTGTGAATCATCCTCAGCAAACCACATGATCTTATATTGAATATCTGAAAGAACAGTTATATTTGGTAACTGAGCATGATTTGTTTCTCTGCTCAAAATCTTCAAGTAGCTTGTTAGCCTTTCCTTTGGATTTTAATGGCTCTTCACGGCCTCCCAAACAAAAGGCAACCTCACATCCAAGGCATACAAGGCTCTGGACAAGTTTATCCCTTTCATCGTTTCTTCTTTTGTCTCACACAAAGCCCTTACACAAACTCACTCTCATGGTCAATCTACAAAACTTTCTAGCTAGGCTGTTCTGACCACATTAAGGTACCACTTTGTATAGCAGTTAATTTGGTATATTTCTTATCTAGTCTGGAGGCTACTGGAGAGCAGGGACTCCATATTAGATATCCATATATTTCCCCACAGTGACCAGTATGTAATGAGCACTTAATATTTGCTAAAGAAACTGATTACTCTATCCTTCCACTCATTAAATTCATTTCTACATATGACCCTTCAATGCCCCCCTTTTTATACAAAGCTATTTTCTTCATTCAACTGACAGCCTCCTTTTTAAACTTCCTGATCCAAAAGATAATAATTATATTTCCTTGAAAAGTGGCACTTCTAAATTTATCCTGAAGTTTCAGATTTTTAAAATTCCATGCATCTGTGAGAATCCTCTCATTAAAGACTTTTCCCCTAGAACTCATTGTAAAATAAATATTGTTTCCAGACAGGCTACTTATACCAATATCCTTAAAATGATTGAATAATATAATAATGACTTCCTACCTTCATGGTAACTGTGATGGTGCTATTTACATTTGCTTTATGCAACCAGCCTTGTTTTATTACACCTCCTTTCTGAGAACATAAAGACGACGAGTCCTGAAACAGAGCAAAAACCATCAGTAAAACAGCAGCCAGCTTGCCATCTAATTAGTCAAACATTTGGGGGGCACAGAACTAGGCCCCACCCCATTTCCTCATTAAACCATAAAGACCTCTTTTCCCCATGAAGATTTAAAATCGACTGTAGAATGCAAGTCATTGTGCTGTGCATACAGTAGGCACTCAATATTTACTGAATAGTGTGAGTTCTCTTCTGGGAAAGTCTTCTGCATTATGTAAGCAGTCAAACTGTACCTCGAAATGTCACAGACATCCGGGCCATCTGTCCCAAGAGGGATCTATGAGGCAGAAGAGTCCAGATGAATCACCATTCCACATACCCAACGTGAGAAAAGCAACTCACGAGCATGTCCCACAGGTGGTGGGGGGCATGTTTATACATATAAATAACAGCCCATTTCACCTGATTTTTCCTAAGCCCCATTTGGAAATGTAATAGTTTTTAAAAAATTAAAAGATACTGAGTTTGAAAGTGTCCACAGACCCTTCAAAAACAATTCTTTCCCTCATCTTTTGTCAAGGAATCCCCTCTGCAATCTTTTTCAGCAGAAGTGATCATGAAGAAACCAACACGGGAAGGGTGCAGTGGCTCACACCTGTAATCCTAGCACTCGGAGGCCAGGTAGGAGTATCACTTGAATTTAAGAGTTTAAGACCAGCCTGACCAAGAGCAAGACTGTCTCTACCAAAAACAGAAAAACTAGCCAAGCGTCTTGGTGTGTGCCTGTAGTCCCAGTTACTCGGGAGGCTGAGGCAGAAGGATCGCTTGAACCCAGGAGTTTGAGGTTGCAGTGAACTCTGATGACGCCACTGCACTCTAGCTCCAGTGACAGAGCAAGACTCTGTCCAATAAAGAAAGAAAGAAACCAGTGCCCTTGCCCCCAACATTGCCCCCATCCTCACCTCATCTTTCTCACAGTCCTCATCGATCTCAAATACATGATTAGGAATCTTTTCTGGTCTCAGAGATTTGCTGAAAATGTAAGAGAATTAGACACTGAACAGAACTAACCAAAATAAAACAATAAACAAAAGCAAGATGAATAGATTTCTTTCTTTCACAAGAAGAAAATGCCAAGACATGAGAAGGAGAAATCCCTTTCTCTTTTCCAAACTCAGATTCTCCCCTCTGAGTAAACTAACATTACTTTTTCTCTAAGGACTTCCACATGAGCAGCCAACAGCAAAGCCATAACCAAGCCTAGTCAGAGAGGGCACAAGTTGCTAAGAAATCTTTGCCAGAGCTGTTAGTGGTTGCAGAATCTTATCTTTTCCCAGGTCAAAAAGCAACACAGTATAATTCTGGTTCTTCCATCTGTGCACTGTATAACCTTGAACAGCTCATATTAGGACTCAGTTTTTTTCTCTGAGAAAGTGCTTTGAAACCTACAAAAGGCTACACAAATGTCTTTATTTCTCCATTAGTTTTTCCAAAGGCATTTTCCATATGATATCCTGTAGTAGTACTACAGATGAGAAAATGGAGAACTCAAATAGGTTGAGTGAGTGGTCCAAGGTAATCCAGCTTACTAGCTGGCAGAAATAAGATGTGAACTCTGACCGGGCGCGGTGGCTCACGCCTGTAATCCTATTGGAAGGCTGAGGCGGGCGGATTGCTCGAGGTAAGGAGTTCGAAACCAGCCTGAGCAAGAGCGAGACCCCGTCTCTACTACAAAAACATAAAGAAATTAATTGGCCAACTAATATATATAGAAAAAATTAGCCGGGCATGGTAGCACATGCCTGTAGTCCCAGCTACTTGGGAGGCTGAGGCAGCAGGATTGCTTGAGCCCAGGAGGCTGAGGTTGCTGTGAGCTAGGCTGACGCCACGGCACTCACTCTAACCTGGGCAACAAAGCGAGACTCTGTCTCAAAAAAAAAAAAAAAAGATGTGAACTCTGACAGTCTGGCTCCTGGGCCAGTGTGCTCATACCATTCCTTCAACTCAATTGAAAGAGATGTACTTTTTTCAAGGGATGTCTGGGGTCATCAAGTTCAGCCAGATATCTTCTAGATTTTTCACTGACACCACTGGAAAATGCTAACATTATACAGCATCAGTTAAAGATTAGTTCATGATCAATAGAGATGCACCAAAGCCAGAAAGTTTGGAAAGAACTTCAATGAGCAAAGTTAAAACATATTCAGTTGCCTGAAGGTTTGCTTTGTTATAAATTGTAACTGAAAAGTTTCATAAGCAGTTTTAAAAAGGTAAAAAGGTTTAATAATTCTCCTCTTGAATGTTCCCCTGGAATTCTAAACTTACCATGGCAACATTCGAAAGTCCCCAGAAAAGTCTTCATACTTGTAGTTAACCACGTGCCAATCTGTGCTATAGGTTTTAATACACTAAAAGAAAATAGGAATCTTTAATTTGAAATATAGGAAAAGTACACATATATCCACTTTTTACAAGTCCAGTAATATGCTGACAGACTTTTAAAAAGTATTTGGGAAATGCTGGTACTGGAATCTCCCTTTGGGGATTACCTGTGTCTCTCTAACCCAATTGGTGGCAATAAATCCCAATTCATGCACCCTTTTAAATACTGAGTCCCAGTACAGAGAGTATTCAAATCCAAAAAAGAAATACTAAGAACATGTGCTACTTGTGAAACTGTTTAAGCTGTTTCCTCTATATCACATCATATAGACTTCTTCTTATATAGGTCAGTTAATTTTAGTAATTTTATTTTCCCTTTACGTTAAAGGAAACATTTGTAAATCTATATTTTATATGTATTTATAAATATGTAAATTGCAAATATATAAATATATAGAAATATTTTATATATTTTAAATATATTATGATGTCCTTCTGCGGCCTTTGAGCCCCTTACCTCTTTGACAAATAAACTCTGGGCCCTCTTTTCAGCATCCTCTGGTACAGTGGACTGCACCGTTCTGCGCTGACGACCTATCACTGAGATCTAGAAGACAAAGAACCATGGCTGCTGTAAGAACTGGCTTGGAAAATGTAGGCTTTTTTCTTTAAAGATGTGCTTGTGAACTCACAGATATATCTTCCATCGGAAACATAAGCAAGTCTCTGAGGGGGTCACTGTAAATCTGGGTTTTTCTTTGGGTGATAACATTCTCATAGTCCAGAGGCTCCACAACTTTGGCCTTTTCCTGTATAAGAGACAAAAATAAAGTTACTGTGGTCGAACTCCCAAGAGATCAATTTTTTCCCATGTACTAAAGATACATTATTTCACAAAATAAGGGAGCGTTGATGCCAATAAGTACTTAAAATAGTTACACAAGAGAAATAGTCTTCATAACCAGACACACACCAAACAAATGCAGACATACACAGACTCCCCGTTGCTAAAGACAAGAGTTCTGAAGAGATAATGCCATCGTATTCTGCTTATCTGTGTGCCTTCCAAGAATTTACTGAATTTTAAGTAAAACAAAAAGCAGTGTATTTGGAAGCCTGTTGGTTGTATTTGCTGAATCTGCACTATTCACTGGATAATTCAACGGGAGAAAGTACCAACATTCATGTGTCCATTCTGTACCAGGCACACTGTGCAAAGGGTGTACCAAGTTCCAGCATAGCTGGGGCAAGCGTGGTTATTGGAGATGCTTGTTCCTGTGGACAGAGCATGAAAGGGTGGGGTTCCAGGTGGCAAAGTCAATGGATCCCTGTAAGACTACTAGATGAGCTGGCCATTGGTGGCCCGGCTTGAGACTAAAGTTCCAAGGAGCAGGGTGAGCAATTCTCAGAGAGCAAGGATATGACTTATTAACAAAAGTAATAATAATAGTCTGCGTTTAGTGAGCCCTTTCTATATGCCAGGCACTGTGCTAAGTGCTTTGTGTACATTTTCTAATGTAATACTCATAACAACCCTATGAAATAGGTTTAATCATTAGCCTTGTTTTACAGATGAGGAGTCTCTGGACTTAAGTAACTTGCCTGCCTTCAGAGATGGAATTCAAACCCAGGTCTGCGGCTGCAAAGGCTCTTCTCTTTATCCATCCTCTAGGCCTATGAGTCAGGCCTTTCCTTCCCTCAGAAATACACATATACCAGTATGCAAGGTAGTGAACTTGGAATGGGAACCCACTATCTACCCTCCTATCATTTTTTTTCCTTCATTGAACTTACCGCAATCTGATATACCATCTATTTCACCTCTCTGCCTATTTGTGGGCAGGAATTTTCTTTTATTTGTTCACTGCCCCAGCCCCTAGAACAGTACCTAGCACATGGTAGGTATCCAATCACTAATTGTTGAATGAAGTTTGAGATATTCACATTCAATCAGAGCCATGTCTCAACATTCTATTCTATACCAAGGTGAGCATATATTAGTGATTTTTAATAATAATGTTTTATTTAAATGAAATTATTTTCTTAAAATTTTATAATGAAAACTATATATAGAAAACACAAATTTAAGATATATTAAAACAATATTATAATAGAATCAGGATTTATATTTGTGTACACAGAATTGAGACAGTCCATACAATCCTTTGAGAACAGTTTTTATACGTGGTTCACAATAGGGCATAGTTATATCAAAATTCCATATCTGAAGGGCATCTGAGAATTTCCTCTATAAGATTTACTTAGAAAGATTAAAGAAAACCACTCTAACCAATGAGATCAGTGTTCAACAAATCTAAAAGATCCTAACAAAGATATACTTTATTTCAAGTCTTAAATTTGGATTTGTAGACCCTTAAGATCAAAGGAGACTGATTATCCCTATCATGTCTGCAAATACCAGTGCAAAAGGAGTTGAAATAGAAGGAAAAAACTTTTGGGGGGAACTCAGAGATTTTCTGATAGGAAAATTTGACCCCTGTGTGCCATATATCTACCATGTCTTCATGGACCCAAATGAAAGGAAACCGACTGCAGCTTCCAGATCTAACACTTGGAGTCTGTGATCAATTTCTCAGAGAAGTTGAATGAATAAAGCCCTATCTAAGAAAATAAGCTTTAAGCACTAAAAATAATCTAAAAGTCTTGCTTTTGTTGCGAACTATATTCCCAATACAGATTGTGAAAACAGTCCTCAAATTTCAATGTTTAACCGGTTGAATTAGTATCGGTTAATTTCTCTATACAATGATTTCAAGTACCTACACTTCAAGTAAATTTGAAAAAGGACAAAAAAAGAAAAAAAAATCCTCCTTCAGCTCTCTAATGAGCTGTGAAATTAATATGGAAAAGCATATGTCAAAATGAATCACTTGTTTATTTTTTAAAATTGTTTAAATTGTATATTGACAAATTATAGTTGTACAGTTTATGGGGGTACAAAGTAGTGTCATGATTTTTTAATACAATGTGGAGTGATTAAGTTAAGCTGATTAACATATCCATCACCATAAATATTTAACATTTTTTTGTGATGAGAACGTGAGAAATTTATTCTTAGTGATATTAAAATATACAGTACTCAATTATTGGCTATATTCAGCATGCTGTGCTATCAATCTCAGAAAAAAATCAAGTTTAGGCCGGGCGTGGTGGCTCACGCCTGTAATCCTAGCTCTTGGGAGGCCGAGGCGGGTGGATTGCTCAAGGTCAGGAGTTCAAAACCAGCCTGAGCAAGAGCGAGACCCCGTCTCTACTATAAATAGAAAGAAATTAATTGGCCAACTGATATATATATAAAAAAAAATTAGCCGGGCATGGTGGCTCATGCCTGTAGTCCCAGCTACTCGGGAGGCTGAGGCAGGAGGATTGCTTGAGCCCAGGAGTTTGAGGTTGCTGTGAGCTAGGCTGACGCCACGGCACTCTCTCTAGCCTGGACAACAAAAAAAAAAAAAAAAAAAATCAAGTTTATTCCTCCTGTCTGAGGTTTTTAATACCCATTGACTATCACCCTTCCATTCCATTCCCCACCCTCCAGTAACCACCATACTACTCCCTGCTTCTGTGAGTTCAAATGTCTTAAATTCCACATATAAATGAGAACATGCAGTATTTGTCTTTCTGTGTTTGGCTTATTTCACTTAACATAATGTCCTCTAATTCCTGAATCACTTGTTTAAATGTACAGTATATGCCTTCTAAAAATGAAACTTACAGCTCCCCACATATTTTAAAGGTCACATGTTCATGTTATAAAAAACAAGGTTTCACTTTTCATTCAAAACTGATTAAACTAAGCATTCTGGGTCTTTACTCCTATGTTCTTTATCAGGGGTAGCTCGACTGCAGGCAAGTTGGTGTGGCTATCCTGGGTTCCACAAAGCTTCCCCTAATAGACGATCTAGGGCTATGAGTCAGGCTTCATCTCTCTAAGAATAAAAAGGAGAAGAAGGGACTGAAACTCTACATTTCCCTTCCAGTTGAATTTAGTTGTAACTCTGCGGGCATCAGAGGGAAAGAAAACCTTTGACCTGTAGAGAATGATCATGATTTAATGGTGGCTCTGCCCGGCAGTCTAGAGCATATCCCTTATCTAACTTTCCTATTCATCTTTACCATTCTATTATTAGACTTATATGGTTACCCTAAATAAAGCTTCTGCCACAACTCCAAGCTCTTAATACTGAGCATTCACTGGATGGAAGACACAAGAACACATTATTAACATTTCTCTCAGGTTTGTGAATTAACCTTTCTGCCAATTTGTCCACTAATTGGCCTACAAAGGTGCTTTTTCAGAACTCCAGAAACCTGCTATAATAAATACTACTTTTTAAACGTTCAAATAATAGCAACTTCCATACAGTTCTCAAGTAGTGTTAAGTAAAAGGCAAAGGCATTTATGCAATCTGGAGAGGAGCGAACATATGTTTCAGCCTTCTCTCCCTAAGTAGTGACAGGAAAGCCGTCAACCTCAATTTGGAACCTACTCAGTTTTCACTATAGGGAAAACAAAACAAAACAAAATGATTTATCTTTGAAAATTCTCATTCACTGATTCCAAAGCCCTCTTGAAATACTCTGCCAGAAATATTATGTTTTTGTAATTCATTTAAAGATCACTTTTCAGTCTTAAGAAAACACTTTCATATACATCCAACCTGATTCTTACCAAAAACCTGTCAAGTAGACAAGGAAAATACCATCATTTCAACTTTATACATGAAGAAACTGGCTCAGAGGCTCAAGTTCATCTGTCTACATTAGCAGCAGAACCAGGATTTAAACCCAGGTCTCCCAACTCCTAATCCTTTTTCTTATCAGTATTTCTTGAATTCAATTTACTCACATACAATCCTCATGATTTTTGCCACGCCTTTTATATTATCATTTACTTCATATTTTTCTTCCAATTATCTTCTTCATTGAAATACATTTATTGTAAAAGAAAGCTTTATATCATAAAGGAGACTGAATCAGCATTTTTCTAATCCCTAGCAAAATAAAATTTAAAATGCCAATTTTTGTCCCGTGGTTTAGGACACAGTACACTTTTCCATGCTTACTTAGGCCACTAAGGACCAAATCTCAATGGACTTCCATATGTAAACCCCAGAAATGCACAATTCCACAAATTGAGATCACTTTTCAATTTCTAGAATAGAGGAAATGACAGAGATCAGTATAGATTCAGATGCAGTCTGCTTCTTGGTCCAAAGAGGAATCAACAGATCCTAAAGAGAGTCACTAACAGCATCACCACAACTTAAGACTTTATGATTGTGTGGTAGTTCCTGTATACCCACAGTAAAGGATGACTGCTCTGTCATCATCTTAACTATATATGTAAAAACATAAAAACCATACTTGTAGTCCTAAAAATAAATATGTAAATATGTACATGTATGTATATATTCAACCATCCAACTACTCATGTATTCAAAAGCGCACATGACTAACAAGCCTATTTATGCTATCATTAGAAATGTAACCATATAATTTCAATTTCATTTAAAACACAATAACAATCACATAATATTTCTCTGCAAACAATAAAAAAATCAGCCTGGGTTACTTCTGCTTAGAAAGAGGTCTTATATCAAAGGTCATTAGTTTATGGTAAATCTTTTACTTTTAGAAACTAGTTCTCCTTAAGAATTCTAAGAATGTCTTTTCTGCAAGACTAAAGTGAACACTGGCTTCATAGAATCACTCCTTTATCACACTGGGAGGGAGACCAGAAAGCAGGCAGAAAGCTTAGCAGTGGGCACGGGGCCAATTCAAAAACATC